TGGCGTTAAGTTGCGCATCGGGTAAAGTTGCGGCACGCGATCGGCACGCATCCGAAGTATGTGGCCTTAATTGTCCCGGCGTATCGAGTCCAATCCAAGACAACCGCACAATCGCGCTTCAGCGGTGCAACAGCACCGCTGCAAGGGATCAATTTGTGCGTTACTAAAAATCGCCTAGGCGGAAGAGGAGCCACAATGTTTTGGAGTGTAATCAGACAGAAAAAACGTGCGTAGACGGCCAGAATCCATTCGTCATACATCTACCCATAGACCAACATGGTGTGTGGGTGTCGAGCAAATACCTCCCTAGTAGAGCTCAAATGTTAGCAAGGTTATACAAGCCAACACACCACGTTGATTTCTAATCTCTCTCTGACGGTGCACGCGCACGATAACAATTAAAATTGAATGGCGGCGAACGGTTGACTAGGGTCGTAAACAAGGTAAAAAATATTCGATTGGGAAACGATCTTTAGCAGGCTGGCTGCCTGCCCACAACATCGGTGGTAACAAGCTGCTAGATACGTTGCTTGTGTCCATGATTTTATTTTCGTTTGTTAAACCAAATAAGAACTTGATAAATCGGGAGATGGAATACTTCAATAAAGCCGATATCTTGTGCAATTGATGCTACAGCTTGGAGCTCCATCCTCATGATATAATTTCAGTAAAAAATAAAAATGTTCAAACGGTGGACTTATCTTTTTGAGCATACATTGCAATATATATATATATATATATATATATAAAAGTTTGTGGAAGGTTATTTGGACAAAGGCAGTCGCGTTTTGTTTGGCAGATTCTCTGCCACATGTTTCTTAGTTTCTGCTTTTGGTTTCTGTCGGTACGCGTTCTGGCTCGATCGGTGTGATTTTGGCCGTATTTTGCCTCTGTATATGTCGTTGCAGTGGCTAAACCGCAACTGCTATGACCTGCTATTGAGATGTTCATCAAGGCGTTATTTCAGTCTCGATGATATGAAGTGATTGTGACCAAGACTACACAGGATGGAGGTAGTTGGCATTAAATTTAATCGGGGCAGTAAATCAGTGGGAGGTAACCGTCATTTTATCACCCGTTTGTCTTCCGCTGATACGATTTAGTGTTACCATATGAGAATATCCTGGGTCAATCCAAATTGGGATTACAATTCTTGACCTACTTGTGAAATTTTAAAACGATTCTGATCACGCAAGGTCAAGATGCTGATGTCAGTGTCTTGCTCTTGATTAGTAATATCGGAGGTATGCATGTGTTAGCAAGTAGAAACAATGCGAGTTTTCTCCAGTTAACAACTTTGTTCAAGTTAGGCATATATTCATTTTTCATCCATGGATGAATAGTTCGTGGTTATTAAATGCGCGGTGATGCTTCAATTGAGCTATCCAAGTACCATTTAACAAGGCACATCGTTGTTTCCTGACCCTGGTATATATGTTGAGTTTCCTTGAACCCTATACAGGGTGCTAATTAAGACATCCATGGTAGCGTTGCTATCTGTGATGCATTGACGAACACGAATATATATTGAACATTTTGGAAACTTAGGAATGGCTCCAGCGGTGTTTATAGTTGGGCCCATACATCAATTGTACGTTTACAAATTGAACGCTATCTGTGCTGCCTTCAGATGATATGTCAACTTCTGCTCATAATACAACCCTGACTTATAAATGGTCGCGTGTTGTATACCTGATTAACCAGCCTTTTGAAATTGAGAACTGTAAAGCTTCCTCCATTGATGGAATGCTAAAAAATTTTCGAATAAATATTGCGGTCAATTTTGCGATCTGCCAAGACCGAATATGGGAAAATTTCATTTTCACAATAGTTGGAGACAACTAGTATGCAATTTCGTCTACGAATTTTTCTCTGAACTCCGCAACAGCTAACTCATCCACATGCAATATCCAGTATAATTTAATAGCAAAATATTTCTATGCGTAAAACACTGGTCAAGTGTGCGAAACCTATCTGCAAAGCTTCCGGTGAGCCTGCTACAACACTGTAATCCTCTTTCTGTGGCCAACAAAAATTTGATTGGAAGTCGCATTAACACATGTTCAGTATTAAGAAATGAACAAGAGGTTGGTTGATGATGAGGGGTTTACTGTTGTTGGGCAAAACTTGGACTCGCTCATTCAAATGTGGTTTATACTGTCTTGATGGATCGCTTGCTTAAGGTGTTTCATGCCCTTGTCGACAGGTAATTATTTTATCTGATGAAGTTGAATTCCTTGCATTTTCCGCGTTCTAATTTTAAAACAAAGCGCGAATTAGCTTGCAGCTTACCACTCGCAGCTTCCAATCACACCTACGTTTTCTTTGCAAGTTACCGAGAGGTTTCCGAAATGCGACTGCTTCGTTGGAATTGTTTTGGAACATAGTATTCAATGTTTTCATGTAGCTCCTAATTCATAAGAAAAATTTTCCCGGAAATTAATTATTCTCCCCCAAGCACGTTAACTCAACATACAATTATCGTCTGCCTGTGGAAAAATGGTTAGTAGCACAACCGCAACTCTTACAGGTAGCGGAACTCATTCTACTTAATGTATGTGCTAGATGAAAGGATTTTTGGATAGAAATATTTACATCAGTGTATACATGGATAGAAGTTGCAGCAAGCAATCGTTTGTGCATTAAATTAGTTTGTTCAATCGGTGCTGCGAACCGCATCATATGACAATCTTAGGTGACCATACGTGATGTGAAATACGCACACACAATCACTGGTCTGTGCGGCGGATACACCCACAATATATGTATGCATTTCACTACTGGAACAATCAGATAAATTTGAGTTACATTTTGTGCCCCAATCAGATGCTGGATGACGGTGGCATCATTCAGGACTGCCATTGCTGACTAACGTTTAAAATAGAGATAAAACTACAAATGTGATTGACAAAAAATGAAAATGAATTTGAAATCCCATTTCAATATATGCAAAGATGAAACGATTCTTACGCACTCGAAATGTGAATCGTAAAACTAATGTATTTCATTCGCCCGCAGCATGAAATTCAACTCTTGGATAAATGATCCAGATTCTATTCTAAGCAGCCTGGTCTTCGATGCATTTTCACAGCGCACTGTATTGTGGAATGGGGACCGGTCAGATTATTATCCTTACATGCGCAAGTGCACATACAATAGCAAAAAGTCGATTTCACAAGCAGGTAGACAAAAAAATCCTTGTCCGAATATACTACCAAAAACCATATGGACGTTTTAGAATAAAAACTTAGAAATTCGACGTTCTTAGTTTTTCAATGAGTATTTGTGTTTTAAAGGGGCCCACTTTGATCCATGTTTCGGTATCGGTAATTTTCTATAATACACAATAAGAATAAATACGCAAAATTTAATTCTATTACCGCTTAAGCTTTACGCTGTGTGGGAATTCGACTGATTTATCCACTCAGAAAATAGCATGTTTGTGCAACTGACTCATTGTAACTATAATTTGGCCTGTGGAGTAGTCGTGTTCTCATCTGTCGTGCTTTGATAGCTACTGGCTGCTGTCTGATATATCACATAACTTGCCAGTTGTGCATAACATACATCGGTGAGGGTCAACACATCTATCTTTTAGTAACTCATCTAAAATGCCCGCTGGTTAACTACAAGTTCATGCTGGACTACAGCAGATAATGCAGGGAATTATTTGGGGCATCTGTGTTCCAGGAGGTCTTAGTTCGTGAATTACTCGTACTGAAATCGGAAGAAGATACTTCCAGTATAATTTGACATAGGTTTCTGCTTTAGGGTTGGCCAGTGGATGACCTCCTGGGAAGGCTCGAAAAGTTCACTTGAGAGTCAGCCTCCTGAATATAGATAATCTCTCTGGTTTAAAAGAATTTGTAGCACATATTTGTGGAATTATTCTGCATTGAAAATCATTGTCTGTACTGTGAACGATGAACAGTGCCAGTGGGCCTAATACGACGCTGTATCCCCGAAGGTGTTTAGAGGTTATACACACATCCCTGCAGTTTCAAACACACTTGGATTCACCATATATGGGTCACGGATTCTGTAAATCGCTATGCCATAATTGGATATTAATGAGCGTATTGTAGCTTGTCATCATCATCATCATCATTGTCAGCTTTAAGGACCGCGTACTCGTCGTACAGTGGTTGTAGCTGCCGCAGTTTTGTTCACCGATGATTTGGGGGGGTGCAGGACGCTGAAATCTCCTATATAGAAAAAAATCTAGTGGATTTAGAAAAGCGTTATTTTCTTTAATGTTTGTAAGCAGCGAGGAGCATAAGGCCCTTTGGTCAGATGACTTACAGTCAAATGGCCCAGCGACGTTTGCTTGTGTAGTGGGAAGGAGTTGGGAAAGGACATCGGTGGACGCGTGGGCAAATGATACTTCCCGGTTGCCCAGGCCGAGGAAGGGGGTGTGGTTGAGGTACCTCACCTTGAGTCTTTGACTCAAAAGTGTGATGACGTGGGTTTTTTTGTTCGGGGACCCTGTCCCTAGCCTGTGACTCAAAAGCCTGACCCACTAGGCAGTGGGAGATTGGGGGTTTTTGTTCGGCGACCCCGACCTTAGCGTGTTACTCAAAAGTCTGACCCACGAGGCAGTGGGAAAATGTATGGTTTCCTTTGAGGACCCTACCCGGACCGCGCCCGGACGACCCGACATTACGACCTGCTTGGCTGCAGGTGGTTGGCCTAACCCAAGGGCGCAGGGGATAAGGGATTATTGTCTCATTCCTGATGCGGCTGCGCACAACAGGTGCCTTATGAGCAGCACCGGGCTCTTTGGTTTTAAAAGTATTACGACGTTATTGGATAATGCGCCGGCGGTCACGGTCAGCCGTTAAGCGATCGGAGTGTGCAGTTTTTAGGGCGGAACTTTTCTAACTCGTCGTTCATCGGGGTGAGGCAGTATCCCTGCTTCCATAAATATGGACATGCTGGTCGCCAGGGGGAAACACCTTACTGCCTTTACACTCCTGTAGCAGAGGACAGTACGACCTTACCCCCAAACCGCCTCGTAGCGTGATTACTTGTAGTACGGGGTCTCGCTGCTCTTGGTCTGGCTGCTCCCCTTTGGCCTTCCTGGCATGGATACACCTTGTGGAACGAAGTTTCAGCCAGTGTAGCCCGCGGGATAATTGCAGCTCTAAAGCCCGACCACCACGCCAAGGTGGCAGCTTTAGGTCGGGACTTTAGCTCGGTAAATGCGAAAAAGCGGTATGCCATGCCCTTGCATCCAATCGAAACACAGATTAAATTGGAAAACCGTGCAGCATCATATGTCTCAGCGAGCCTACCACCGTCGCTTCATCGGCAAGTAAGATGTAGTTTCCCGATTCCTCGATCCGGTTAGACTGGTAGAATTTAATCATTTGCTTGCTATAAACCTGATCAGATTGGTCCATTAGTTTAGCATTTTTTGGACTGCTCACCATTCTACGCCTCGTAGCTGACCCATTGTCAAAAACATGCACTTTGCTATGTACAGACATTTATTCATTGTCTTCGAGAACAAAGTATTTCTAACCGTTCCTCAACTGACTTCAATGATGAATATGTACATGGCGGAAGGGTAATCATGAGAAAGTTGAGGTTCATGGGCGTTTCCCCTTAAACTTACGCTATGTAAATATGGCCATGCACTGAACCGGAGGTGGGTGATTTAGTCTCTGTTATCAGAATTATAGAATTACCGGGAGTGTTTCATAACATGTCCATCCAAAAGGTCAAAGGAGGTATTGATAGTGGGATGAAGTTAGATTTTTTCACGAAGGTTTGTCCAGTATGTGAAGACGCTCTACATTGTTCAAGTTTTGACATAGTCTTGCGGTGAGTGATTTTGTGATTCACCCTAGTTCCATCACTTATGCTCCTATCCTGAAACGGTCATTCAGGTGGGCACATACGAAGAGGGGTTTAGCATTTTGGCGGAGATTTTTCTTGTCTCAGCTAATCTAAAATCCGAAGCAAACATTTTTTCCTGAATTTAAAATTCACGAGTCTGATACGCAAGCTGAGAGGCTTATCGAGAGATCTAACTATCGTCTTTTGATGGTGCAGGTTCGAAATCCAGAGAAATGTAAGCATAAATTCTGACGAAACTCCAGTAGTTATGTAGATCGACCGTTTCAAGGGACAGAAGCTGAATGACATGCATAAGGTCCGACAAGTTAACACAAATAAACGGCTTTTTGAGATAGGCATAGAATCAAAATCTACTGAAATGTTAAAAAGGGCTTCCCGAAATAAAAAGAAAACGTGCATAATGTTTAACGGGGAGTTCACTGGGATCTTCAGCAAAGATGTTCCTTGCTAACTTATATTCAGCACGTAGAAGAAAATAATCGTCTGCAGTATCGTGCATGTTCGAAGAGGCGAACAAATCCGAGCTTGCAGAAAACACTTTACCTTGTACCGGATAATTTTGAGGAGGAAGCGCTTGCATCGAGTCAGCCGGGGGCAATTGTAGTTGCAGAACTTTCCTTCATCTCTTATTTCAAGAACGCTATCTCCTTTTGCCTCAGGGGTATCTGCAATCCCTTCCAAATCGCACGTAAAATAAGCCTTTCGTTTTGAGTAGGTGTGCTTAGGTTTTGTTGAAAGACTCGAAACTAACCAAAGCAAAATGTGACAATTAATGGCTAAAGCTGCAGATATTGTGATGAGCCAGTAAATTTCGCTTGTAAAAATGCAGTGTGGGGAGATATTTGTTTCTGAAATTATCAGACGTAGCCATTTCAACAAGGCCGCGAAATTGCCAAAGCGTTTCTCAGCAACTTCAAGGAATCGACCCAAATGGTAGCGCTTTCAGAAAACGACTTGTTTCGTAGGGAACTATTATTGGCAGCTCAAACAGCGGTGAATTCATCTACTGGTAGTATATCATGTTCAATCTAAGGGGTGGAATAAGCTGTGTGTGTATTGATCCGGTACAATAGCTAACAGTATTGATTGCGTAAGTAAGAAATATTGTGACACCCATCAGCATGATCTGAGATCTCATGACGCAAGCAAATACGTCATGTGTGTGACAAAAGTTGCTCCGACACCGGAAACATATAAGTAATGAGAAACTGCAATATACGATAAGGTTGGATAAACAATGACGTACAAAATATTGTTAGTTCTCGTCTGCGCTTTCGATTACTCAGGTAAGCCAAAAGTGCAAGGCTCTAATCGCATGCTGAATGTGTTTGAAAAACATTTAGCCATCACTATGAATTTTACATTTGGAACTATTCTGAGTGTGCAGGTACACTCCTAGCGCCACTACCGTAGTACTTTAACACCGATGGAAGTTATTTACCGTATACAAATCGCGTTCCGACATTGAATAAGTATGCGCTCAATTTGCATCTTGGTTAGCTGCGAAATAATGTATTGTTTCCACAAAAAGCGGGAGCCGAAATTCAGACGGAAACATGTGAGTGTATATTTGTTATGTTTGAAAATGATGGGTAGGTAACAAAATGGTTCAACGCAGGCCGACTAGTAAAACCCGGTATTGAATGTCATACAGCGTCAGCGTAAAAACTAAGGAAAAGTCGGTACCAAAAGCAAACTGACTCCTTACATTTAAATCACCCAGCTTAGTACTTAAACGACAACGGATATTTCGTAATTGCAATATCAGAACGTCCGTAGTCAGCTCGGAGGTTGATGAGAGCGTTGTAATTAAGGATGATATCACGGGTGACATATAAGTTAATCATACCCAGCTTCTAAAGCCGCTGATGTGTACTACCTTTCGGACCAGCTAATGCGTACATCTAACGTGGCCAAATACAGCGAAATAGTCTGCTGCGTATAGAACCTATATTTTCTCCAGGCTACTTTTGTTCAAGTCATGCTTGCGAACTATTCTTACTTTACGCTGTTTTGAATTCGGCATGCAAGTGGAACTGTTGTCTGGCGTCAAAAGGACATTTGTTAGCTAAATGAAGTTCTTGTGTTTTCGGCGTCGTGTTCTTCTATGCGGAATTTCATAGCGCACAACGGACTGTTTTGATCATATGCTCAGCTTGCTGATGTGTTCAAAACCCATCTATGTTCACCGGTCTCAAACACAAAACAGTATATTGCTATTGGGCAGGAACGTTAGATTTTATAATCCCCAAATTCAATGCTTTATTGGCACATAATGCACATTATTCTTACCTTATATTGCTTTAAATGCTCAAGTGAAAGAGGGTTTGGAAAAAGGTGTGTTTACTTTCACTTCCAGTGATTAGCAGCTGATGCCATATTCGGTGAATCAAATAACCATCTTACGCCATCGCTTTTATATTCAATGCAAATATCAATTTTAGGAGGAATAAAAATTGCCGTATTTATACTTTGGCCTCCATAGTAATAATTAAACAGGTGACGTTACAATAATAAAAAAACAAAATATAAATGAAGTTTCCAGCTTAGTCAGACTTACTGAGCAAGAAAAAGGTGGAATAATTCAGCTGCAGGCGCATTTATATAACATACCTGATTGCAATTGAGAAGTGGGTTCAGATTTACAAATAGGTAAAAGATTTGGGTGTGGGTTATTTTTGCAATCTGCCAAATAGCTGCGACTTGCGCGTCAGCAAGTTTGCCAGGTGTATTTAAATTTATTTCACGAAACTGATCATGTTAATATGCTTGTACACCCAAGGTGTAATTACCGCATTCTTCTTGCGGTTGAAACTAGCAATATGGTTTTGGCTTGCGAATGTTCAGTCGTTCATCAGGCAAATTATCTGGGTGAAAGTAATGTGCGTCCAAGAGCTACGCTGACCAGTACCGTTGCGTCATTGGCGCGCTATTGCGTAAAAGTTCTGAGATGCTTTATATTGATTTTGGGCTCCCTGTCAATTCCTTACTATTTGTTTCAAACAACAAAGCCCGTACGTTAATGTTCTTCTAACAGATTAATTTTTGGGACTGGGTTTATACAGGTTTTCGTTTTTATTGTAATCCTTAGTTGTATTCAGTTACGTTTACGCTTATCCCCGCAATACATATTTTCCTGTCCTTACGCTCAGTGAACACATGTCCCGAGCGACGTAAGTTGCGTGGTTTACTAGCAAGTATGAAAAAAGAGCCCGGAAGGTGTGGGAGTAGCGCAAGAGCAAATCCGTAACCAACAGTGATGTGCGAATGACCGATATCTTAAGAAGCATGAGAAATATTGTTGCCTAAATTTGTCAAGTAATAATTGTTTATTTGATTGTACGCGGCCAGCGACCAAATTTCATGGTATTCGTCAGTTGATAGGATTACAAGAAAGCAAAATAATAATGGAGGTAAAGCGTGTTCTAGAGGTTATGGTAAGAAATATATGGAACCGGCAATTGCGCAAACATCAGTAGCATCTGAAAGCTTGTTTGTTACAGACCACTATGGAATATTAACAAATCAATGAACGCCCATCACCGCCAAACTGAAATACAAAATCTGGCTTCAAAGGTCTTCCACAATTAGCGAATATGCGAGCACAATCCGAAGTGCAGTTGAGGATATTTCGAGGAAGTTCGTGTTTTTATTAGGAGACGAATGTTTGTTCTTCTCCAAAATCAAAATATTTGACCTGCGCTTGCCACGATTTATACACTAGTTAGAAAGTTTTCGGTATTCCGATGAAGCAAAATGTTTTGCCTTAATTTGTCCAGACCGTTGGACATTTGACAATCTTTACGTCCCATTGTACCAGCATTGTTCTTTCACTTTTCAAATCCTTAGCTCTAAATAATGCATGTCAGGTAAACAAAAGACAAGCAGGGCAAAACATACATGGCCCGTTTGCTATAGTGATCCCCATTATGCCCTTGGTCACTACTAAAATGTCTCCTTAGACGGGCGGCATGACTCAGGCATGAGTCACAAAATCAAAGGCATTAATAAAGCCGTTGGTCCTTGGAGATACCAAATGGGCTTTTATTATTTGGCTTGTTGCGGCTAGCCTGCTAGAACAAACCATTAAATTTGCCTAGTCTCCGCTGTTTTGCATACAATATGCAAATTCGATGTTGGTGTCTAATTGCAATGATTTATAAAATCCCCGCGCGAGATTGAAGGGTGTAAGGTGATCTGACAAACCTTTTGAGATTTCACCAATGTGGGAAATAACCCTGGGTAGTCATTTTGGATGCTGCAGGGGCGAAGCATCCAAAGCATCATATGCATGGTATCCACCTCGATATAAGGAGAAGTAGGAT